ACTTTGTCTATTACATGTGCACTTTGTCTATTACATGTGCACTTTGTCTATTACATGTGCACTTTGTCTATTACATGTGTACTTTGTCTATTACATGTGCACTTTGTCTTTTACATGTGAACTTTGTCTATTACATGTGCACTTTGTCTATTACATGTGCACTTTGTCAACTTTCTGTAGGTGTCTCCCATGGACAGGAATTACAGTATGTATTTGGGTTTCCCTATTTCAACAAAACCTACTCTGATCTTTTTGGTCTGTATCCACGACAACGTTATGACTACGCAGACAGGAACGTCAGCGAATATATGATCAGTCTTTGGACAAATTTCTCCTCCAGTGGGTAAGTACAAAGTTTGTGTTAGCTGATATTTAAGATATTAATGAAGATGGATTTAACATTGTCATATACCTCCTTGATAATGACAGGGCACGCTGCTAGTTCAAGCTTGAGATACTCATGACATGTATTTGGGTGATCTGGTAGTGAAGTGGGTCACACTCTCGTCATTTACCAAGGAGGCCAGATTTCAATTCCCCGATGACATGAAAAGGAATGGGGTCACCTAGCAGCTGCCTGATAGATTGGGTTTTCTATGGGTACTCTGGTTTCTTCCGACATTAACCCTTTTACCACTGTAGACCATAATGGACTCACCCAGATCAATGCATGGTAGAGTCTACTAAAGTTACATAGGGGTGGAAGGGTTAAGACCCGTTGTGAACAAGCATCCGGGCCAACAAGAGTGATAAATATGTTTTGAAATAATTTCTTCCTTAATTGTTGTAAATTGACTAAAGGTTATATATTTTTAGGTCACCTGAGACAAAGTCTCAAGTGACCTATTGCGATCGCCTTTTGTCCGTCGTCCGTCGTGCATACGTAAACAATTTACATTTTCGACTTCTTCTCCAAAACCCCTGAACCAATTTCAATGAAATTTTTCAGAAACCTTCCATGGCCGAAGGTCAACACAAATAGTGAATAATATGGTCCCCAGCCCCCAGGGGCCTGAGAGCGGGGCCAAAAAATATTACATGTTAATAACTTGATTGGAATTATAACCTTGAGTTGACAGTTTGATACTTTGAACATTTTGAGCCAGCCCTACCCCCAAGGGCTGTAGGATGGGGCTCAAAGGAGTCGGTGTGCTAATAATTCTTCATTTTCCTTGTTTAGAATCAGAGGTGCTAGTTTCAAATACTTTTCAGTCTTAAATCTGTATGCTAGATACTGAATAAGATTGTTTTATTGTTTTTTGTCACTTTGAATAATACTTCTGTTCATGTTTTAAAAACAAAAATCAACTCTGTATAAATATATCAGAACTCGGGTGACTGTTAAGGCCCATGGGCCTCTTGTATGTTAAAATGTTTAGTAAAGTACTATCGTATGCATTTATGTTAGTCATTCATTATTCACTGGGCACTAATGGAAAAATAGTTATAGTAAGTGTCACTGTTATTGTCCACAGCATTTGTATACCAAATTTGTCTTAAGAGTCAAATTTAGAGCAGATATTAAACAAGATAGCCATATATCTATATTATTACTTTATGTATCTACTTTCACTTCATGTCTTTATAGATTTCTTTGGTTTTATATAAGTTAACTTGATTCCTACATTACGATGCATTGAAGAACATTTACAATGATAATAAAGTGATATTATTACATTTATACAGAGACCCAACTCCAAGGATCTTCGACTTAAAATTTTTCCGTGGAGTGACATGGGGCGAGTATAACCTATACAATCACAGCTATTTGTGTATTGGCAACTTTTCACGCAACCTAACCAACTACCGACAGAAGGATTATGGCTTTTGGCGAAAGTACTTCCCTCAGATCGCCATACGACCCTATTGTAAGTATTGTTAACAGGTTTAGTGAGGCTAATATATGTTGTTATCTGAGCCTCTCTAACGTATCCGGTTCTACCAGTTTGTTGTTAAATGTAACATTTTTAGCTAAGGCGTTAGCCGCCAGCTATTGGTATTACTTTAGTTAATGAGCTCAGATATTCATAANCATGTTATAAACATTGTATTATTAGATTCATTGTGATGTTGGCTTTCATTGAAGTTTCAATTGTTATACTACTTGATGTTTTGGAAACTTAAACAAGTATAGTAGTTCTAAATATTATGAAATGACAGAAACATTAGGCCAAACAAATTACTTGTGTTTCTACTATCAGAAAAAAATAGGGTAGGTATGTATTAGCTAGGCATTTTATTGTTAATTTGAAAAATATCTTTACTGCGCTAATATAGAGCAGGAGTTCTGACTTTAACAGTGCATATAAAAACTTAAGGGTATTGTAGAACACAAATCTGAGATAAGTCTGGTTAACCACACTGGTGTCGAACACACCAATAAGTATAGTGTGTATAATATATCATAGTTTATACACATCATATTACTATTAGTGTGTCCAGTATCTGTGGGGTTAGCATAAACTCAATATTTGTTTTAAACTTTTAATTGGCCTTATATAATGATCATTTATAGGTCAGACAGGGTTTGGTTTCCAATTCGGAAACTAGACCTGTTAAAACAGTTATCATTTGTAATTTAGAGATTAAATATTTCTAAGCAGAAAAAAATGAACTATAAATATTTTTCAACCTTTTCTGAGTTGTACAATTTTAGAGTATCTTCTGTCTGAAATCTGAACATAACTTGTTTTATGATAAATGTGTAAAACAATTCCTCATACTGGGGTAAAGTTTTTCTATATATAGTCCCAAAAACTACAGATAAAATCCTTGAGCACGTACAAGATACAAAAATATATATTTTACGTCCATTTTGCAAAACATACAACATAAGCTACAAAGACAAAACATGAGTATAATAACAGAGACCAAAATATTACAACATGGAAAAATAAAATAAAAACATGTATGTACATGTAGTATACTGTAAGCTCAGAAAAAGAGTTTATCACTTGGAAAGCACTTAATAGGCACATTGAACACGGTAAGCACATCAGCACATGGTAATTTAAGCACATTTAGAACATTTGCATACAGCACATAAAAAACAAAACCATAACATGGAAAGCTTATTAGCACATAGTAGGCACATTTGCACATTGTAAGCAAAATAAAGGAGTGCAATGGACATCTCCATGTTTCCTGGTTAATTTCTTCTTTATGGAAACAACCAGGGGAGAGTGATGTTCTGCTTCATCTTTTGTATTAATGAAAACCGTGAATATCTAAGTGCGTGTGTTTAAACTAATTTTGTTTTGTTTTTACTGGTACCTTTTTATGTACACATGTTTTACCACCTAAGGAATTAGATGTCTTAAGCCCCCATATGATGTGCTGTTATAAGTTGAATTTAATGTACATTTTGTTTATATTTAGTTCTGCTACCAAAGAGATTGACTTATTGAAATGTTTTTGAAACATTTTAATGAACTCCTCAGCTTTAATGCCTTATTTCTCACTATACAAGCTCATATTGCTATGCCTCCTATTTGTTTGAATATCATCTCTAAACATTATTGCTGGTGCAGAAATTATATGGTAACTATGTTCTATTTTAGGGGGGGAAAGCAATCAATATTACAACAGACAGGGATGGTTATTGATGGGAGAAAGGAGGATGAGAAATAGGAACTGTACCAACTCTCTCATACCTTTGAGGACTTCATGAACTTTTTCAAAAGGCTGCAAGAACTATACCAACAGTGACATGACATTTTGAAATCTGTCAGTTACTTTATAGAGGAGGAACCTCTGACTAAATCATTTTCTCTCAGACACATGAAAGCCGAGTCCACAGATCCTTCCATCAGCGAATAGTTCAAATGTAGTTCAAATGCTTTCCTCGCAAACTTTTCCTTAATGGAGAAGTCAGTGATCTTTACTTGGAACAGATTGAATCTGTGAATATTGATGCTGAAAGCCTGATGAATGTGATTGAACAGCCCCTACTTGATGCTGAAACCCTGATGAATGTGATTGAACACCCACTACTGACTAAGGGCACAAATGTTGGAAACAACGTTTGTTTTGATCAATATAACACTATGGGTGGTGGGAGCAAATTGGAAAAAAAATTAAAAGTATGTTTTTAAAGATAGAAATACTGGTCATGGCTTCCTTTTAGTTTTTGTCCAATGAATTAAAAGTCAACGCAAATGTTAAGTAGTAAAAGAAATGTAAGATCCCTGGTATACATTGTACTTTTAACAATGCTTATGATCAATATCAATAAAATAAAATAAAAGTTATAATATGTAACTTGATATTTGTTAACTTCGCTCGATTTTACTGTGTCCAACATTTGATATTAAATCTTGTGTGATATATGAGAGGGATAGCACACAAGATTGTATCAATGTCAATGAAAGCAATTATTTCTTAAGTTTTCAACCATATTTCTTGAAACTTCATTTCTAAATTTCATACATCAATTGTTCAAGACAGTTTTAAGGTCAATTTCATTCAGTCAAGGTGAAGGCTACAGCTTCACAACCTGTTCATGTACATGTGACAGAGAAATTGTCAGTGCATTCCTAACTAAGTATTCAAACCAAATTTTATAAACCTTGATCCATCATTCTCAACATTAAATCATGCACTACCTGTTTGCATATACACAAGCAACCTCAACTTTCAATAAGTCCTGTTGTCAACATTTGTTGCACAATGCTATCAGTTCTGAAACCAACAATCATGACAACTGTAATAACATAGTATGTGTTCTAGCTGGTACATTTGCAGTACTCTTTTGAAATGTATTTGAAATTAATATGTGCATCTTATTTCAAATGCTAGCCTATGAAGATGATAAAGCTGAACATATGCTATAAAGTTGTTGTTTTCTTTGTGAAGAATTTATGCAATGGAAATAGAGGGAAAATAATGTAACTCTCCTAATCTTGTGTGTGTGTGTGAGTATGTATGTTTATATTTTGTTTATCTTATTCAATATTGAAACATACAACAATGTATCATATTGAATTAGAGTGCTTTTTATATTATTTGTTCATGGGAACACAGATTCAAAATAGTTCCATTTTTCATAAGAAGAGACCTTTTCACTGCAGTGAATATGTAAAACACTTTATTTAAAAGTTTTTCAAAATTATTGAGAGACTTGTAAATTTATGGGTAGCAGTAATCCACTTGCTTATCCACAATTTAGTTTCGGCAAGTAAACATCCTTATAAATATTGTTCTGTAACAATATACACTGACTGATGCAAAATTGAAACTTGAACAAAATTCACACGTATTAAAAAGCATGCCAACCCTGGTCGATGTGCACACTTTACAAGATAACTTGCTTGAATATATATTGATCAATATACAAACTTAGACGATAAGTTCAAAGTTGAGTGAAATCCATGCCTAATTAATTAGCATACTGTACTCTGATTGGTCAATGGTTTTATGCCAAGTAACTTTGTTAGATAAGGCAAGGGTTGATATCTTATTCAACAACAAAGGCAAAGTTCAAAGATGTTCACAATCTGTGCATAATCTATTCAATGGTTTAAAATAATCAGGTATTGGTCAAAGGGGTAAATGCCAGTTTCAGTTTTTAATGTTCTATGAAATACATTGTATGGACAAAGGGAAGCAATTCCAAATTCCTATGCAAATTAATTATCCAAAGGTTTAAAATGATATATTCTAGAGGAAACTTGGTACCACTCTTCTGACAAACCTATAAAGATATACTGTACACACAAGAAGAATAACTTCACAGTGGTACACTTTTACATAAAACTTTGATTCATAACAAATTAACAGTAACTCCTTCTGTACAATTTGATGGGAACTTCGTCTTTATTTTGTTCTCCATTCCAAAAATAATATATATATCTTTTGCCTTAGCTTTCAGTACTTTCAGTACTTTGATTGGCTATAAATCCTGGTGGACCTGCAAATGTTTATGCAAGACCTTGCAAGGCTTAATGTCATGGCTCGCCTGAAAGCAGCATCAAATTATTAGGGCCGACCTTATTCCATAAACACACGACTCTGGTCCGACATGTTTGGATTGCAATAAACGAATACTGCCTTGGTTTTGGTGTAGGTGACACTAGTTTTGTAAATTGCTAATTTATAGCGAACAAACATGTACAGTAAAACCTCATTATACTGCCACCATTTGTCTAAAATGAATGGCATTATAAAGGTGTTTTGCAATGAATTGAGGGAAGCCTATAAAGGCATTTTTAAGAATACAAGAAATATGTTGGCTATAAACAAGGTGGTAAATGAAACAAGGGACATTATATCCTGGTTTTGCTGTACATTTTATGTAATACTGCATACTAGGAAGTGTTTGCCCTGTCAAATTTTCTCTTTTCGTTGGTTAAATTGATTTTTGCCTAATACTTAATTTACCTTTCATTTAATAACAATGCATAATATGTTGTTTACAAATATTCGCTGTAATGATAAATTTGCCATGATAATGGAGGGCGAAAAAGGCAAAAATTACACTGAAGTGAAAATTTCCCGATATACAGTTAGTACTTACTGTATTTAGGATTAAAATGTATCTTTTCACATTGATGATGTTACAAATATGGATACATTCAAACAAAATCCCATGATGCACGGTTAGTAAATGCCTTTTCTTACCGTTGACAGTTATCACGACCACAATACCACGGGAGGCTGCTAAGGCGGAGTTCCAGACCGCCACCTGGTCACTTACGGCAGCGGCTGGTCTTCTGATCATCATCATTCTGGCCATGTGTATTGTGTTGTATCGCAGACGGCCAAAAGACTACTGACTGAAACTTAGTCTTAGATTCCATATATGAAAATTTCACAATATTTCATGTTGACGGCCTTTTATTCTATGTATAGTTTGTGATAACACTATCAGGTATGGTCAATTGTGAGAACACTCTCAGTTTTATGAAAATCTTCACCCTGAAATAAAAATCAATGTAATATATCTCAGGTGCAATTTGATAGTTAATTGTATGGGATGAATGTACTTTTTAATTATTGCTTAATATGCTAAATATGTAGTGAAAGGGAGAAAAATATAAATTTGTTCCAATAACTGATACTGATTATATAATAAAACCTGAAATATTCAAGGTAACCTGATACACACAAATTTAAAGAACCTGGGAAAAGATCTTTTACAAATAGTGATTATAACTAATTGGTAATGGAGATGACGCTAACACAAATGTTGCCATGTTGAACTAAACTATACAACACTGATTTAATGAATTTTTCCTAACAAGAAAATATCCAGACACATTTTGAAATTAACCCCATTTTTTCATTAGAGATTTTATTTATATAAATTTGGCTGTAAACTGATGTGAAGATGTTTGGTTGGTAAAAAACATTCTCAAATAATTCTTCTTTTAATAATGATAAGAACATATTTTTAAGAGTGATTCTGACATATTTTAAACGCAAAAATGAAAAATTAGACAATGCATTTTACTCATGTTTTATTTAAGTTGGTTCAATATGTGTTTTTTCTTTTGTTTTCTTACATCTTGAGGAGAAATTTAATTTGTAAAATTTGCAAGGTGAGGTGGTTGATTGATTTTTCCATATTTGGCATAATCTGTAAATGTCAAGGAAACATTTAACTGCAATGTTTATATACATGTATATAATTACAATTTGTATACCTCTATTTTTATATGGTTGAATGTTTGATTCTGATATAAATATTGATGTAGTGATTGTGCCATGTCCTTTTGTATATTTCAATCATGACCATAAATGGTTGCAGTATAATAACTTCATTATCAAAGATTTTTATCGTTTTCAAGTGTACGTATATTGATTCCTGTGTTGCTTAAATGCACTTTACGAAAAGAAATTGATGATGTTAATTTTGCTTGCTTCTTTAGGGATGTAGGAAAAAATTCTGATTTTCTAATTAGATATAGGTTGCTTGCAGTTTTTGTATTTAAAATGTCATCAACCCACATTGTATTTAAAATGTCATCAACCCTCAGTAGCAGTTGTGTATGTATTTTTCTTGTGTATCATAGATCTCCCACTAACAGCTTTAGTCGTCCCCGACTGGTAATATCTGAGGGAATAGGGGTCGCGTTTAATCTGTCTATGAATTAGTTTGTCACATATTGTGGAATATCTCTTATACTCTTTCACATTTGTTTAACTCATTCACCCCTGCATATCTAAAGTGGACTTGTCCAGTCATTGATTTGGTGAGGTTACAATGGGACTTTGGGGGTGAATGAGTGTTTAATTTAGAATATGACATAAGGTGGTGATTTCTAATCCATGAACAAATAGTATGATATATACCCGCTATAAATAAACTGCAGGTGTATTTAAAGGCAATTATGTGTACCTTTAGGTACATTAATGAACTGCAGTTATAGGTGATTTTTAAGATATTATTCTAAGATTGAATCACTAATAGATAATTTAGAAGTTCTAGAAAAATGGGGCAAATGAAACTGAAAAAAGAAATATTTCAATTCATTGTTAAATATGTGTTTTATAAAATTGCTGGTTCAGTAAGAGAACAATGATATAATTGTGTAATTGTATACATTTTCACAAGGTATTTGAACTGCGATTGACTTTTCTTACTGACATAAACTACATATCATATGAAAAATTAAATTGTTGTACAAATGTGACTTACTTGAATGCGTGACTACACTGTACAAAGGTTTTCATTGTAAATAGACATTTTATGACAGCAGCATTCCAAACATTGTGACAGTATTGTTGGCAAAACATACATCATAATCTTTTTTATCATACCATTCATTTCGATATTTGGTGCAAAATTGAAGTTTTAAAAACGTTATTTTTACTATTGAAGAATTATTAAATAGGTATCATTGGTGACCATCAGTTTGTATATACATAATGTATCTATTAGAGCAGCAGCCAGTGTCTAGGTTTCACAAGATAACTTACAATTGTCCCTCTAAATAATACTGTATACTGGGAATTTTTTGAGGCAATGTATCTTTCGCCTTTTTTCGCCCTCCTCAATGAATGTGAATTTACTAGGACAGCGGCTATAAGTACACGACATACAATATAAAGTAGTTACATGTAAAGGGCGAAATAAACACTAGACAAAAAATAGTTTTATCGGCAAAGAGTGAATATTTGGTTGGGCAAAACGTTCCTGGTATACAGTATCCCCTAGACTGGCTATTGGTCCTTACAAAAATGTATATGATATAAAGCTGTTATTGGTGCCCTAAGCTATCTAACGCTATCAAATGGTCACTTGACCTCTTTAAATGTGTTTGATACGTTTCTGCCATTCTGTTTATATATATATCATACTCCGACTGGCCATTTGTCACTATATTTCATTAATAACTGTAACTGGTCCCCCACAGATATGCTGTAGACTAGATGCACTAGACTGGTCACTACTCTCTGTAGTCCTTAGATTTCTATAAATGTTTAATTGTTTCCATCACCCTTTATAGCCAGTAGACAGTCCCTGGGACTCTATCACAGTCTCCCTGCCCTTCTCCCTTATTTCATGTTCGGATTGTCCTGCAAACTGTATGGAGCTGATACTAAAGATTGTTACCCACTAGTTTTTACTCAGCGTGGTTGTTGTTTAGATTTGTATTTGCTGCATTAGGATTTACGTACTATTTCTTCGTGTTGAAATATTCCCTCTTTGCATATTGCAGAGTTATCTTCTCTATGGAGCAGGTATTGATTGTTATGTCATTGGTTTGTGTGAGAAAATTACGTCGTTTTCTCAAAAATTGATGACGTTACTCTCTTAAACAAGTGACGTAACAATCAATACCTGTTCTCAAGAGAAGATAACTCTGCAATATGCAAAGACGGAATACACCCTATAATAAACCAATATGTCAACAAAAAGGGAATTTCTAAATTTGAATTATGTTATAGATTACTGTAAACATTTTTTTTTTACCTGTTATTAATATGGAACAATGCAATAATTAGGCAGTGTACAAAGCTTTGCTTCTTTTAACTATCTGGGTAAACTTTAAGTATCTAAATTGTTGAAATATACATCTACTTTATTGTAATATGAACATTATACTTAACAGCACCATGTAATGGTTATAAAACAACTGTCACACACAAATAATAAGGCTGGTCAATGGCCTGTGTACTGTACTATATGAATTATGTAGAGGTTTTATGCAGGGTCTGTTTTAATAAACTGAATTGTTAATGATCAATAAAATTACAGAAGTACCTAAGAATAAAATGTTTCAATATGTGTGTGTGTGTGTGTGTGTGTGTGTGTGTGAGAGAGAGAGAGAGAGAGAGAGAGAGAGGGTTTTATATTCATATTTTTATTTCCCGAACTCAATGTCATCGCAAAGAGACAATAAAATTAAACCATCAGTTTTGTTTTGCTTGTTGTAACTGGATTTATGACTGGAGTTCTGGGTACATGTAGATGGTTACATGTACATCGTGGTTAAGATATGCGTGAACCATTTATCCATTGAACTGTTTTTGTTTGGTATTTATGATCTATTTGAATGACACAGCTTTGCAAACAAACAACATAATGCTTGCAAAGCGGTGTCATTCAATTAAGGGACGTATAATGGACGTATAATATACTGTTCCTAAATTGCTGATGTGGCATCGTTTAAAGCTAGTTTCCATTGCCGGCATGGTGATTTCAAACGATGTGCATTTTGTACGATATTGCAGACCTTGGTCTTGTTTTTGATGTAATAAAAGTATTTTTTTGTATTTTCTTTTTTCTTCTGAACGTAAATTTACAATTACATTGTCAAGTCTCACAATGCACAGCGATAATTCAACAGAGGTCATGTTTATTTACATTGGATATTGTAGTTCCGGTCAGTGTTGTATTAATACGCAAAGAATTGTGTCTGGTGCTGCATGGTAATTAAAGTCCTATCAACGACATAGCTTTCAAAGAGGCTATATAGTGACAATGCCATGCAAATGTTAATATTGTAAAATGAATGACATTACATATATAAGCTTACTCATGTTGCTGCCTGTTAGTGAATTAGAGTCACACAACCAGATTTAGCACTTGAATCAACAATAACAAACCTTTCCAGGAGTTAAGCTTAGCCACGTTCTCTGCACCATTAGAATATGTCATGACCAAATCTCGCGGGAGCGTAACGGTAAAATTGACAAGCTCTGGAGTTGGGTGTTGCCCCAGTGTACTATTCAAGGGACAAATATCAGAGATGAAACCCGCATGGTTGGAGTCATGTAGGCGATAAACCTGTCATCCAACCAACCAACCAGCCTATCAGTTGGTCATTTTTCACCCGGGATCAATTCGATGTTGTCATGGCAATACCAAGGGTGTAGTGAACGTGAGGGTTGTGACATAGGACAGGGACAGAACAAAACTTCCAACACGATGTATTTAGAGACGCATATGATCTCATCAGAAATATTCTTGGTGTGGTGTGACTCCATTATTGTATGATACTCATTAGCATGTTTTGCAGTTCAATTGCCATTACCCGTGTTCTCTCTTTGAGAACGTGTCGTGATTAAACCTAGGTGTTCATGGCGGCTGACGTCGATGCAGCAAAAGATGCATGTTTATTCCTCTAGAACAGCTCTTGTAGCAGTCTAGTCAGCGTGTTTGTGGGTCCGGTCAGATATAGCCATTATCGCTGTGGCTTTGTCGACCATTTAATTATGGGTTGCTCGATAATGGGTATGGTAAAACTGTACTTGGCGACGATTCTTTTTACAAAACTTGAGCGAGTTTTAAATATCCGTTTCGTTGTGAATTTATTAACCAGAGTTGTTTGCGAGACCCTCGTTTCAGCATGTCTACACGTGCCTTTAAGTGCCGCTTGACATTTCTCCGACTGCCTTTGAAAGTCTTTCTATATGTGCTATATATGTTTGTGTCTCAAGAGTCAGCGACATTGTTTGAGTCTACATGCATATACATTTCACTCTAATAAGTCCCTGTTTTGACAATGGTGAGCCCAATGTCAATATCCCAATGCCATTTCCCATCTCTGGAGCAATAGATATTTCCTCTTAAATAGCATCACATTCTGATTGAGTGACCAAGTCTTTCACATTGGTGTGGTACCGATTGCAAACTTTCTTTCAAATACTAACCCCCTATTATCCAACGTAGTATAGCCTGCATTTAGAGTGTTCAATCAAAAGAATACGAGGGCAGACCTACTGTTGAAATTGTTCACCTTCGGTACGAGAAGAAAACAGATTTATTATCTTCCTCATCTATAACTGAACGCCATCTAAATTAGTCCACAAGCAGTGTCGTAAAGGCGTCGAACTATCAACTTTGATCTTTGTATGAATCCAATAGGAGTGTTCGGATCATTTTAAGGTTGAGATATTAGACAACTTTCATACCTCTGGAGTTATTTCAACAACGACCATTTTACATAAGATTTTTGTCTTTTCTTCGTGTTCCTAGTAAAACTCCCTTAGGGACCTCTCTTTCGAGTAAAAGCTAACCTTTGTATAACGTTCTTTTGGTTTTTATGTTTAGCTTCAGAGTTGTCGATAGGTCATTTCGCTATAGGATCGACTATTTTTGTGACATTCCAAAACTAGGATAATCTGCAAATCTGTTGTTACTTTTGTGTATCTCTAAACTTCCCATTATGTCAATAAATAAAATGATAAGGCGAATCTCAAAACTAAGGCAACACAAAGTGGTGTAGGAACACTTAATTGTAATAACATTGTTGAATATCTATGTATATTTTTGTTACATAATGTCTTATCTTTGCTATATTGATTTTCATCTTATTTGGCTAAATTTAACTGTATTCAGGTGGAAATGTGTGGCTCCGTCGAAGTGGATTTGGACTTAATTTCTTTAACGCCCAATCGATAGCTAAGGTCATTTACGGACGTGCCTCCATGTGCGTTGTGTGTGCGTGCTTGGGTGTCTGTGTGCCGGAGGTAGGATATGTTGGTGTATCTGCCACATTGGCATAGCTCGGATCTGATGCCGACTTTATAGTGCTAGGTTTCCTCTTTCTTTGAATGGTAAGTTTACAAGACTTGGACCATTCACGACCGTACAACACATGTAGAACGACAGACACATTTTTTTTATAAACAAATGTATTTGAACAAACAGGTACAGTAATAGTCAAAGAGTCAAATTAAGACAGAATTAGCTACGAGACACATGATCACTGAACTGGTATGGATTGGACTATACTGGTACGTCAATGGTAGTGCGTCTGGGATGTTGTCACGTGGTAACTCGTTTAGCTTGACCTTTCTTTGCACCTGGAATAGAAACAAAACCATTAGGTTAAGGTTTTAGAGGGTTTAGCGTCCTATTGTGGGCGGATTGGTCGAGTGGTTAACACTCCGCCTTCCACGCAGCCGGCCGGGGTTCGATCTTCAGAGAAAGTGTTTTTCTCCTGCCCACACAACTCCAACAACCCAGATGGAGTATAAATTTGTCTGGGATGGATGAGTCGGTATCTGTGCTGTAGCATTCAAGTGAGGTGGCACTATAAATGATGGCGTTGGAAGCACGGTCCCACCACAAACAGAACACATTACATTTCCAGTACACACGCAGGCATGCACACATAGGGAGATCTTAGGCATGTGGAATAGGACTAGTAATTAGCGCCTAATAAAGCAGCCCCTGCGAATTCCTCAAACATTGTATTGATTAATGTATATGCTAATTGTATTAATTGTATATCTATGTACTGTAAAGCGCTTTACGCTTTATAGTGGTTTATGTTAGCTATATAGGGCGCTATATCAAATGTTGAATATTATTATTATTATTATTAACAGCTAAGGTCATTTAGGACGTACCTCCACGTGTGTAATGTTTGCGTGTTTGTGCATACATGTATGTGTGCTGGAGGTAGGGTATGTTGATGTATGCGCCTCCTTGTTATAGCGCTGATCTGATGCCAACTTTAGAGTGCTACCTCACTGAAAAACCATGCCGAACGAACCAAGCATAAGTTGTATATTTGTTTTTAACAAATATTATATCATTTTGAGGTTTGAAGGTAGACACGTGGACGGTACTTTTAGTTTATTGACATATAATTTCTTGTCCAATTACTGTACTATAGCAAAGAGTTATCTACGATATACATGAATTGTTAACATATCTCGTTTAAGAAAAAAACCGTGATGATACTGTATTCTACCAACTCTGGATTTGTTCAATAACATTATCAACATCATTGTCTTTATTTTGCTATGAACAGCTATGGTCGTTTAAGGATGTACCAGCCTTTGGTGGTGGAGGGAAACCAGTGTAACCGAAGCACCTGGCGACCTCCCCACGTTGGCCTCGAACCCGTGACCCATTGGTGGACGGCTTGTAGACGTAGACGGTCAGACACCTTAACCACCTGGCCATGGTTGCCCCCATTATTTTATTGATAAATAATGTTCAAATATAAAAATATTATGGTATTGTACTTATTATCATGAATCATATTTTTAGAAATTTTGAACCTGCATTTAATGAAAACCACATAATATGTAATCTTTTATTGACAAATATATTTCACGAGTGTGGCTAATAATTTGATATTTTTCACGAGTGCGCAGCACGAGTGAAAAATATTAAAATATAAGCCACATGAGCTATTTTAGCATCACAAGCTATTTTCTGGTATGATTGCTTATAAAAATGTTATTAATTGTATATTTATGTAAATACTTAAATGTGTGTACCAAACATTTACCATAACAACCACTTATTCTACCGTGGCTTCATTTGAATCTGAACAAAAAATCGTTGCCTTTGAATGCAGCGAATAGAAGATACCGTTATGATTGTTCAATACCAAAAAGTGATATTTTCACATAAAATATCACTTTTGATATTTGTCACAGTGTGAAAGATATCAGTTTTATCAAGTTGAGAGTAATAGAATCTTTCACCACCTTGGGGGTGAGATAGGAGAATCTCAACCCGAGGGGGAGGATTCTTAAGTTGCCAAACACGAGGCTTTGCCGAGTGTTTGGCAACTAAAGAATCTTTCTCCGAGGGATGAGATTCCACTATCTCACCCACAAGGGGGTGAATGATTCTTTTTCTCTTACCCTGTTCTTTCATTGTGTATCATATGCACAATGTAATGATAACGTTACATGCTAAATTCAGGGTTGACGTGACGTTGATGGATTGTTGACGTGACGTCATTGTATTGTTAAAGAGACGTCATGCCATTGTTAGTAACATGGGAATCCCCCCGTCTCAACCCTTGGGTGAGACAAGGAAATCACACACCGGTAAAAATGCGGATACACCTGTCCAGGGTAAGAGAAAATCCGATATTTCACTGGCAAAATGTAATAAATGTTTTAATGCACTAAGCAACCTTCAACTATAAAACTTTTTACGGTTCACATCATATGTATTCAATATACATGTATGTATCAGATATCGAATTTACTCACCAACATGAATGGCAATCATAGGGTTATCACTGGTATTGCCGATACTGAAATGTGCGTTGCCATCGTTTCCAACTTGGATCTCATTCCCGGAGCAACTTGAACCATCATAGTTGCCGGAAATGACGTCACAGTAAGTGCCTGCTGGAAGGCCGGTCTGCAGTGTTTGATCCAAGCTGTGACTGTCCATATTCATAACGATGAATCCCTTGTTGCCCCTACCGAAGGCGATCTGGTAGTTACCGTTATCCCACCAGTGTTGCAGGTTCTGTCCCATGACGACGTTCCTGAACGCCACCATGTTGTACATTTGTCTCCATCGATGTTCACATGTCTGGAAAATATTAGCAAAGTAGTGCAGACGGGCAGAGTGAAGGCGGAGTGAAGGCAGAGTGAAGGCAATGTACAAGACCCTGTTTTACGTTATGATAAAGAAGGCAAAGTATATATAAGACCAACCATTTTCACAGCTCCGACCTTTTTTCTGCCGTTTACAAAGACCCTGTTTTACGTTATGATAAAGAGGGCAAAGTATATATAAGACCAACCATTTTCACAGCTCCGACCTTTCTTCTGTCGTTTACAAAGACCCTGTTTTACGTTATGATAAAGAGGGCAAAGTATATATAAGACCAACCGTTTTTACAGCTCCGACCTTTCTTCTATTGTTTACTTTGTAAATCTTTATTCTGTCTCAAAACTTTGGTTGCTACATCAGAGACGTATTATACGTCTCTGCTATCATGCTGATCTTGCCCTTTTACAGAATTTATTGTCACAGCATGCATAAACTGTAATTTCAACATTCCTATACAACCGTGGATCGAACCCGCAACCCATGACTTCCTAGTCGGACTTTCTTCCACTGAGCTTAAATATATATACACACGGGACTTCTGTTAACCCTGCATCGGTCTTATTGACGAGGACCAAGATGAAACATCTTAAGACAAAGCACGGTCAGCTTAGCTTGTTACTGTGAAGATTATTTTTCTGCTTGATGCAAATTTTTCGCGATATCAATTCCCTCTAGCGCGAAGCTAGAAGGCGATCGTAATACTACGTACAATTTAATCTGCCACACATAATTATTTCCATTCTCGCATACGACCTTACCTTATCGAACTCGTATTCAACATGAACGGTATACAAAGTATGATAGTATAAAGCAATATACAGGGCTCGAAGACGAATGCCTATCACTGTCGGAATGATGTTGTGTAGCAATAGGTACCTATTGTGATTGTAGGCACTGGTTGTAGTTGGTATCCGTAAGTAATTGAGAACATATAGATAACTTACCCATCCGTTACCACACGTTTGATCACCGTTAATGGTGACGTCATTGATTGTGTCACCGTGATGAGGGGGGCCCTGGTCAGTATTTGACCTACAAACAAATGTCGATTTCATACAAGTATGGATGTCCCATCTGTTTTTATACTGTTTTGTGTTTTTTTGCAAGTTGGTTGTTATCACCCTGGAGATAGTTCCCTTCACTGCACCAATAAAGCGGTGCATTTTGAGCAGTGCACTATACAATCGAACTCCGTGAAATGTTTAGAATTTCTGTAGTTTTTAGTATAATATTGAATGGAAAGCTGTTAGAAAAGCTAAAGTAGTACCGCAATATTTAACCTGGACATTTTCTCGCTGGAACGGTAATCTTTTATTTACTGTTGCTGTAGCTTTCTTTTAAATATAACATGTTTTTTCCTGATCAGTTTAACTGCCCTCTGACTTTGTCCTAAAGGAGCGTGATTAATCTAAGGGAAACAAAAGGCTATGTTACCCTCAAACAATAGCAATATATATATATATCTGGCGCGTTCCAAGACTGTAAACGACGTTCATTCAAGGCATATCAACTAGCCATCTTAGGGGCGGGGGATGGCTGCCCCATACCCCCACGGGAAATGATTGAAATCTAGAAGCGCTGTGGATAAAAAAGTGTTGTTATTAAGATAAATATTTAAGCAGTAGCGATATTAGGCAGTCTTGTTGAAAACCTATGGTTTATCTGAGTCGAAAAAAACCTCGTCAAATTCAATATTTTTCAAACCTTACAGCATTTCACACCACCTCTAGGACCAGACACAATAAATACAAATTAAAAAGTACATTTGAGGGTTTTTGATGTGCATACAACTGTGTATTTGTATGGTAACCATATGTACCTGTCAAAGTTGTAGCTGCTCATGAGGCGCGTGAACCCGTATGGATGGGCCAACATGAAGGTGGTGGCGAGTTTGTATGGGCGTGGCTCGAAGTGGGTTATTGGACCACCTAGTGAGAGAATAGTAAAAAGAAATTAATTTGTTAATTGGATAATTATGCGGCCCGAGTCCGTCCCGTCCTGTCCCGTCCTGTCCTGTCCCGTGATCAAAGTGGTTGTAAGTATTTTTCGAACATCAAACACTGAAACTAATTTCACATGGTAATGTGGCATTTATGTCTTACAGACATTTTCTAGTTTTCTACAATATTTTCCATCCCTTAGCACAACGATTGATATTGACAGAGTTACATACAATACTATGATTATTTCAAGGCTATTGGCTGTATTAGCACCATCCGGGCAATCTTACCTCCTCCTCCGTGTCCTCTCTGGTTGTCATGGTTATCAATAAACACAACGACGTCATTAGAGTTGGGCATATTCCAAGCCTCACCCCAGTTGTGAAGATAGCTCGCCTTGTTTTCATTTCGAAAAACCTGTCCAAGTTTCGCGCCGAAAATAAAGTTCGTAACTCGCCCGATCCCTATGTATTCGGATGCACTAATCGGCTCCGAACCCATATCAATCACTTCCTGGAAGATAAACGGTTTCACTCCCGAACCGAATACCCCCGAGTTTAGATTAGTAAGTTTTCCGAACAACGATCTGAGATCTCCGGGCCACATATGTTTGGCGGCGTCTACTCGGAACCCAGCCACGCCAATGTTGATTAGATGGTTCATGTAGCCAGCAATTTCATCCCGGACGTAGTTCTTGCTGAGTTTCAGGTCAGCGAGACTGACCAGGCGACAGTTGCGGACTTCCTCGGCGTTGTTGTAGTCGTGAATGTTCATATCGCTGCTGTGGCACTCGCTTCCAGAGTTGAAGTCCCAGGCAGAGAATGGAACCCCGGGATACGACAGGCTGTCTCCGTCCCAGTGGGATCCCGCTGTCCCCGTGCCGGACCCACCTACTCCCGTCATGTGGTTGATAACGGCATCCGCGTATATTCTGCAGTATACATACATGTAAATGAACATTCTCTATTATGGTAAGGTAATTGTGATAGATTTACATGAATATTCATGTACAGCAAGATACCAAGGGGTCTTAAAAGCTAACATAAAATCGGGGTCGAGTTGTTTTAACTATTTCAATGTTGCGACTCATGGACTAAATATCCTGGAGCATGGCAGGACCATAGAACCAGTTCTGTCAGCATGGATGTATTAATTTCTTCATGCCCAATGTGTGTGTATGTGACATATGGTTTACACCCAAAATTCCTCAATTTGGGGGCACATCACTTCAGTCCAAAGAGCCACACTATCTACATTTATACTGAATATGGTGAGCTTGACCTTGTGTTGCTTCTAACTAGATATTTTGACAATACAGGCAATCCTTCGGACCAAGAGAGTCTAATCGAACATATGCTTGGGTATTTATCTGACACATGTTGGTCTACCTGATAATGACCTTGTTTGATCTGTTGACCTACCGGACGTTGACCTAGATGTACTTGTAGACCCACCTCACGTTGACCTTGTTGTAATTGTTGACCTACCTGACGTTGACCTTGTTGTAATTGTTGACCTACCTGACGTTGACCTTGTTGTAATTGTTGACCTACCTAACGGTGACCTTGTTGTAATTGTTGACCTACCTGACGTTGACCTTGCTGTAATTGTTGACCTACCGGACGTTGACCTTGTTGTAATTGTTGACCTACCTGACGTTGACCTTGTTGTAATTGTTGACCTACCTGACGTTGACCTAGTTGTAATTGTTGACCTACCTGACGTTGACCTTGTTGTAATTGTTGACCTACCTAACGGTGACCTTGTTGTAATTGTTGACCTACCTGACGTTGACCTTGATGTAATTGTTGACCTACCGGACGTTGACTTTGTTGTAAGTGTTGACCTACCGGACGTTGACCTTGTTGTAATTGTTGACCTACCTAACGGTGACCTTGTTGTAATTGTTGACCTACCTGACGTTGACCTAGATGTAATTGTTGACCTACTGACGTTGACATAGCTGTACTTGTTGACCTACCTGACGTTGACCTTGCTGTACTTGTTGACCTACTGACGTTGACATAGCTGTACTTGTTGACCTACCGGACGTTGACCTTGTTGTAATTGTTGACCTACCTGACGTTGACCTTGCTGTAATTGTTGACCTACTGACGTTGACCTTGGTGTTATTGTTGACCTACCTGACGTTGACCTTGCTGTAATTGTTGACCTACCGGACGTTGACCTTGTTGTAATTGTTGACCTACCTGACGTTGACCTAGATGTAATTGTTGACCTACTGACGTTGACATAGCTGTAGTTGTTGACCTACCTGACGTTGACCTTGCTGTACTTGTTGACCTACTGGCGTTGACATAGCTGTACTTGTTGACCTACCGGACGTTGACCTTGTTGTAATTGTTGACCTACCTGACGTTGACCTAGATGTAATTGTTGACCTACTGACGTTGACCTTGATGTAATTAATGCACTGACCGACGTTGACCTAGCTGTACTTGTTGACCTACCCGACGTTGACAAAGACATAATTTTTGACCTACCTGACGTTGACCTTGCTGTAATTGTTGACCTACCTGACGTTGACCTTGATGTAATTGATGCACTGACCGACGTTGACCTAGCTGTACTTGTTGACCTACTGACGTTGATATAGCTGTACTTGTTTACCTACCGGACGTTGATCTTGTTGTAATTGTTGACCTACCTGACGTTGACCTTGATGTAATTGTTGACCTACCTGACGTTGACCTTGTTGTAATTAATTTACTGACCGACGTTGAACTAGCTGTACTTGTTGACCTACTGACGTTGACCTTGTTGTAATTGTTGACCTACCTGACGTTGACCTTGATGTAATTGTTGACCTACTGACGTTGACCTTGTTGTTATTGTTGACCTACCTGATGTTGACCTTGATGTAATTGTTGACCTACCTGACGTTGACCTTGTTGTAAGTGTTGACCTACTGACGTTGACCTTGTTGTAATAGTTGACCTACTGACGTTGACCTAGATTTGACCTAGATGTACTTGTTGACCTACTGACGTTGACCTACATGTACTTGTTGACCTACTGACGTTGACCTTGTTGTAATAGTTGACCTACTTACGTTGACCTAGATGTACTTGTTGACCTAGTGACGTTGACCTTGTTGTAATTGTTGAGCTACCTAACGTTGACCTTGTTGTAATTGTTGACCTACCTGACGTTGACCTTGCTGTACTTGTTGACCTACCCGACGTTGACAAAGACATAATTGTTGACCTACCTGACGTTGACCTTGATGTAATTGTTGACCTACCTGACGTTGACCTTGATGTAATTGTTGACCTGCTGACATTTACCTTGTTGTAATTGTTGACTTACCGGACGTTGACCTTGTTGTAATTGTTGACCTACCTAACGTTTACCTTGTTGTAATTGTTGACCTACCGGACGTTGACCTTGATGTAATTGTTGACCTACTGACGTTGACCTTGTTGTAAGTGTTGACCTACCTGACGTTGACCTTGTTGCACCTGTTGACCATGTCCCTGAGTTGATCCTCGTTACCACTCCTCGTGATCAGTTTATAGCTGACAGGCTGGTACCTTTCCCACCATGGTCTGTTACTGACCAAACGGTTTTCATTAGGTGGCGATATCTGAAAAAGATATAAAGCATTGGCTTATATCATAAATAAACATCATTACAATTCTAACTAAGTAACCAATCAACACCGAAACATACCGACTGGCTCATTTCTTGAAAATTAACAGCTAAAAGAAAGCAAGCTCACCGAAATCAGAATCAGTAAAAAACGATGAAAAGGATTACCTGGACGCCACAGAAACCGTTCGGCCCCAGAAACCGTTCACACTCCTGTGCTATGTCCGACCACTTCCACTCGAACAGGTGCACAATCGTATTGCGACCGGGAGCGCAGGTAGGGTTACTGTACGTACCCGCAAGGGCTGAAAGATTACAGATAATATATGTAATTATAATGCGTGGACCTGTTTGGGACTGAAAATAACAAACAAAAGATGATGATACTGTGATATCACGTTATGGCTGAAATATAAAAACAGCATATGACTAGACACTCGGGGTATGATAGAGTATGGGATGGAAACTACCCATACCTATGCCGATTCACTGCATGTGGTCTTCATAAGGAACATAACTTCGAAGTTCACGGAGAAATTTCAATGGAAGATCCGTGTCCTCAGTGACATTAACTCATTTACCCCTGAAGACACATTTGAACTCTTCCAATTCAAAGGTTGGAATAGTTCATTATGAAATTTCAGGGGTCAATCAGTTAATGGGAACTGATATGGAGATTATATTACAAACCAAGCCACAATTAATTGTGACAAACAAGATAGTACAAGGTATGAGGTCTGCTTCTGAAAATATCGCGTGAAAAATCATAAAAAACAGCTAGTCATCTTCATTCTTGGTATTGTTGCAGCGTATGTATCTGTTATTGAAGGACTAACGGAGAAACATACCGCGAGTCAGAAAAAGGCACTTTCAGTGAGACCAAAATGCTCCCCGGCACAATGAAAAGCTCTGCAAAGGCCTTATGGGTCAGAAAGATGAAATCCTCTTGTTGGTCATATGAAACAGTCTAGTTCAAGAGGTTAAGCGATAGCTTTCCAAATGGAATCAGCACAATCCGGCACGATGTTGCCGTGGAAACCCTACTGCTGATAATGTTGTCGTAGGCACTGCTAACATCCATATTGATGTTGAACCACTAACACAGCGCACATAAACAACCAATGACGAGTTTACGAATTATTTATCACCAAATCAAAATAAACGTCATGCGAGCTGTACAATGTCTTAAAACACTGCTTCCTTTGAACATCTCAATTATGAACAGGCGAGCGTCTGAGTCAAAGGTTCAAGTTGTTTCGTAAAAGCTAAATAAGACAACTGTTTAAGAAGTCTACATAAGACAACGAGACGTTTAAGAACAACTTATTAGTAGAGATAAGCTTGTGTAGTATCTTGGAGGAGATGATGTCCCAGTGTCTAATGTTCTTCTACATAATCTGACAACCTGAAATCGGCCGCTAGGCCTAATAAGTGATGAACAGCGCTTGTTTTGCTGGGCTTCTCTGATGCTTTCGGCATCTTTGACCATGGCGTACTTTTAAACTGCTGGAGTACGCGTATTGGATGACTGGTGATGCACTTTGTTAGATCCAGTCCTACGTACATTTGTTAAGTTAACGATCACAGTGTATTGGCATAGGGTTAACCACGTCTCATGGCAATTTCATAGACTTAGGGTTTCCTCAGTAGACTGCCCCTCGTCTCTAGAACCTTGTATAGATATGCAATTTATTAGAGAAAAAAAAATCAACTCTTATAAATTTGATCAATTGGATATCTGATTCTAGATTTCTAAACTAGGGGGAGATAAACTAGTAGAAAAATGCTGCTGAGATTTTTTTCATAAAAATTAGGGGCTGGTACGCAGTCTATCGTAGAGGGAATCCTTGCTATGTGTGATACACGTGATTCGGAAAGACAGCTGCTGTTTTAGGAGGAGTGTAATTATCTAATGTCACGAAGACGAAAACATTGACCTAATTTAGTGGTGTGAAAAGTCACACATTAACGTCAGTAGTTTAGACTCTAGGGACCAGACGACCTAGCTGTTAATACCATATGTCATTCTATACACACACATAGATAAAGGACTTCTTATTTGTATAGTATTTACCTGAACACTTTCTATATAGCGAAGATACAAAATGTATATATGCTTTAAGTATATGTCAATATTCATTTGTGATTCTTTTAACACTAGAAAAAACCAGGAGCAATACTTATTCATGCACTATAAAGTATCTTACAGTTGTTTTGCTGATTAAATATCATTATGGAAAAAACCAGGTTTATCGAAATGAAAATGCATTAATGGCCTACAAGCGGCACTTAAACAATGTCTGACCCTAAATCTGTAATTCTGAAAAATACTTGTCAAACAAGTTCAGTGATTACATTCTGAATAAAATCAGCTCGATCAGGAAAAATACTGCTGAAGTGAACTTTTCTGCTGACAATGATATCTCTGTCCTGACTGCTGACATTAAATTTGATGGGGAACCATTGGCAAAGCTCTTACCAACAACCCAGGACGAGTTGCGCAATATTATCATGACCTCGCAATCGAAGTCATGTGACTTGATCCACAGCCTACAGACCTATTGAAGCATTGTCTTGAAGCACTGCTTCCTTTGATTACTTCAATCATGAACAAATCATTGGCTGAGTCAAAAGGTCGATTGTGTTTCAAGGCGCATGGAATGAACAAGGTGTTGAAGAACTACCGCCCAGTATCAAATCTGCCTTTTCTGTCTAAGATCTTCGAGAAGGTTGTGTCCCGGCGTTTAGAGGCTCATCTCCATGCAAACAGTCTCAATGAAAACCTGCAGTCGGCCTACCGCATGGGACACTCTACCGAGACGGCCCTCCTACATGTACATAATGACATAGCTTCTGCATCAAACCACAGGAACTAATTGTCTTTTCCCCAAAGTGTCAGCAAACAATGGCTCTCCAGCTCAAGGTCGGTACCAGAAATATTGAGAATGCCCCAGCTGTTACAAACCTAGGGGTATACTTTAATAGTTCACTGAACATGGCGAAACACAAAACAAGTGAACGCTATTGCTAAATCCTGTTACTACCAGATCAGGAACATCGGCTGTATCCGGTAGTTTATAACTGCAGATGCATGCACTATTTTGGTGCATTCACTTGTTACCTCTCGGTTGGATTATGGTAATGCCCTGCTCTGTGGTATATCTGACAACCTAACTAGTCGTCTGCAGAGAGTCCAGAACATTGCAGCACGGCTGGTTACTCGTACTCGAAAGAGAGAGCACATCACACCTGTACTATATTCATTACACTGATTACCTGTACGATACAGGTCGCAGTACAAAATTTTGGTGTATACATACAAGGTACTGAATGGAACAGCTCCCCAGTACCTACAGGAGTGTGTTACCCTGTAACAGCGGTCACGATAACTGCGGTCGGACTCTCGTACTTTGACCTATGGAAACCGGTGCTCTGGGAGGGTTTCGGCCACGCTGTGGAATAGCTTACCATCTGCTATGAAAAGTAACATACCCTGGTCAAATTCAAGAAGAACATCAAAACTCACCTCTTCACGTCTGCATTTTAGAATCTTTGAAAAGACCACCCTTTTATTTGTTCAAGTATATGCACATTGCTTGTTAAATGTATAAAAGTGATTGTAAGCCTTTGTTTTTGTTTCGATTCACAATTATAACTAATTACTATTATCCATATGATGTAAAGCGCGTTAGAGGAATTTTACAAATTATATAAGGCGCGATATAAACGTGTATATTATTATTATTATTATTATTATTATTTAAACCCGGTCATATACATTCACTGGCTATAACATATATCTAAGATCGTAATTTTAACCGGAAGTCGCCATGACCTACATAACGTCAGTCATGTAGAAAACTGATTTGGAGCAAGATAAAGATAAGCCATCATTACTCTGATTAATATGGTAGAGACATTAGTTTGACTTTAAGAAATAGGATTAAGTACCTTTTCATGAATTATAAAAATAAGAAAAATGCAACATTATACTTACATGTACATAACTGCTGTACGTTTTGTTATTAACAATATTCCATTTCGAATCTTTAACCTGGTGTGTTGACTCTGCTGCGACATTATTTATTTCTATTTTACCTGACATACTATTGAATGTTCCATACTGTTAATTAAACTGAATGATAGTTGACAACACGGATATTAATTTACAAAATGTAAACATATTAATGAAAAAGAATATGTCTTTGTAAATCAAAACCATTCCATGCTTTAACATAATTTTGCCATTACCGTCATTAAAAAAAATCATATAATATATATATAAACGAGCAACATATCTATTATTTATTAAAAGATTTTTTTTTTTTTTTATAAAGAATTATTTCAAATCAAATACCTTGTCGCAATTTACAGATAAGCAAACTTTTTAAAACAATCATTTATGTATTATAATGACCAGCATGAACAAGAGCATAATTTGTCTGGTTTACTCACTTACCGACAGTTACTAAACTCGACAATAAGAACAATGAAAGCATTTCGTTGGTCGCTGTGAAACACAATAACAAAACCGCTCAGGAGCTCCTCTTTAAATGTAGGAGCTTTGTTGATAGATAAGAAATGGAATGAGGTTGAAAATTAGGACTGAGGTCGTGTCATTCTAATGTCTAGAACATAAGACTTGTCCGCATTGACTTGGAGCCTTTAACGTGAAGTATGCCGGTCATCTTACCGATATTTCCCACCAGGAAAATTGCTAAAATCGAGAGTTGGACACACACTACAGATCGAATTTTTCTAAACCAGAAATTACGAAGGTTAAGTTTAGTTTTATTGGGTGTAGCCTACTATTAACAGCTAAGGTCATTTAAGGACGTGTAAAATGGAAAGGAATTGCTAGCCGATTATTTTTTTCCACTAATTTAATTCCTTTTCTTGACAGTAACATCCCCCGTCCGTATATATTGTTTACGTTACTTACATCATTGCGGTGTCACAATTGATTGATATTTAAGGGCCTGATCCAAATATCCTGCTTTCTGTGACAGGTATCGAACGCTGACGACTCACATACAATGCAAATACTGGGACGCAATCGTGATCGCGTAGGAAAATATTCAATTTAATTGTGCAAAATAAAAGAGGTACCGGGGTTACCTTTTCAAGTACATGTAGTCAAATTGTAGGACCAAAACGCATACGACGTATTTTTTTCTGTAAAGCCGTGTATTTCTTCACGCTGAAAACGCGTTTTTACAGTCTCAGTTATTACATTGTTAGATAATTTTAAAAAGAAAACTTACTTTCATATATGAATAACAATCCATGAGTCTTTACCCTTATTCTGCTAAAGATGCTAAATTAATTGCATATTTTTCCCACTACGATACCATTTTACAAAACGTAACATGCATCTACTCGAACGGTGCATTTCAAGTATGTATACATTTGTAACTGTTCACCAAAGATGAAAAACAATGTGAACATTTGACTGTAATGACAAGGGCAGCAATTAATCCCAATTGTTGGAAATCATGTCAGGGTGTTTTTTCTATTCATTTTTTCTTATTTTATTTAGTTTAAATATATGAAGTTTTAGATGTGGCATTTAGGACACATCAGTTGGAAGATATAGACCGTCCTTGACCTTAGAAATGACAAATGTGGGTTATAGAGTTACTTATATAAACGTACGTTCACAACCTTCTTTCTTTTGATAAGTCTGTCAGTGTCTAATGTTCCAACATAAAACATAAAATAGACTTCCTCTCGACGTCAGCATATATTAATTACATGGTCTAAGACGACTATATTTTTTACCATTTTAAGAGAACATATTTTAAGTCATCCTTGTAAAGGAGTCGATTTCTTATATTTTGATTCATAACATTAATTTCTTGAAGTCAACAAGAAACATAAAACAATACATGTATGCCAACAAATGTTAGACGTTAGATAAATATTTTTTTGATATAATACTTTTCTTTGCACAAAACAAGTTTGCTTTTCAGGTTGTGCAAAACAAGAACACATTTTGTATTATTTATATTAAGGCATCATGCTTATCTTAACTTCGTAAAGAGGTCGACTTATCCATGTTAAACTGTTCGAGCACGTATTAATATTAACAAACCTATAAAATCAAATAAAAAACAATTGCCTATGTTTCGACAAGCATATTAAAATAATAAAATATTATAGGAAGTGTAGACAATGTTAGCTACAATCCACTATACTTAATACCCAATGTATGCAATAACACTTCATTAGATGAAATTTGGTGGCATATTTTCTTTACTACAATACATTGTTTTAAATTAATTAAAATGCCTATAAGAACATGAAAGTCATCAGTGCTCTTATTTAAGTGTGTATTATGTTTTTCATAAACGTTAGTGTTTATGCAAACTTGGTATCGACGTATACCTTTAATAAGCTAGAGACAAGTAACCTAGTGACCTGAACATGAGGGCATTTGTCCCTATCTCGACATTTTACCGAAGTAATACCAAAGGTATTCGATTTGTCAGCAATCCTATACATTGTTATGTATATATATATATATATATATAAACAAAAGACAAGAGTTTCTTCGACTTCCCTAGCGCTTTCTCCTCTTTAGAGGTTCATCAGGGGAACTGATCTATATAAACAAGGGGATACCGATAAGAATATCTAAATTCTGTTGAAATATATTGCCAGTGAGCTCAACAAATAGATCGTGAACAAGGAACTCAATCATTCTCAAGATATTCTAATGAATATACTTAATATCGGTCTTTAAAGTCTAAAGCCCTGCCAGAACAAATTCCAGCAGCAAGGCTACGGCTTATCTGTGGGAAATATACTCACATGATCACATGTTGAACATTGTTAACATACAGAGTAGTTTTCCACGTGGAAGAATACTGATATTATTTACTCGTGTTTTGTATAAAATACACTCTACTTATTGTCCTCTTAGTTTTTTCAGACGCAATTTTACTTCACAACATCAGCAGCATGATGCACTATCTTTAATCTACCAAAACACCGGTGGGAAGCAATTTTTAGATATCAAATCAAAATATCAAGAATTTCATAGTTAGGTTATTATCTCGATTAACTGTTCAACATGTGAAATTGAGAGAAACAAGATATACATACATGTACGTTGTGATGGTTTCCGAAATCTGTTCAGTAATTTGTGATATTCGAGATCCAAATCAGGCCGTAGTTGTGGTTTATTTTCTTCACGTTTCTTCTTAATCGGCGTCTTGTCTTGTATAAGGTGTTTCCTTGTTGGTGTGGACCCTGGTTTCTTCTTTTGTTTGCTTAATACGTTTCGAAATCCAGCATCTACACCGAAGAGAAAATAACATGTATGGTTAGTTATAAAATGTGAATATATGTGCAATTGGGAGCAAATGTTGTTCAAATGCGAGAAAAGATGGCGGCGAGCATGACACTGTTAGCTGAGGCAAATGTCAGCATAATGAATATAAGACAATTGACGATAATCAGCACGAATAATGTTTTGTTTGTTTGTGTTTAACGGCCAATCGACAAATGTGGTCATTTAGGGCCATGGTCATTTAATTATTTATTTTATTCAACAAACATGAGAGTAGCGAAGATAAAATCTGATAAAAATGCATGTTTTAAAAGCTTTCGCATTGTATGTGTAAGTAATTAAAATAAAAGGGGTTAAAATAATAAAAAATATATTTAATAGATTATATGGAATATGTGATATATGCATAACGTCAAAGAGGGTAAGGTGGTTTAAAAGACATCAGAGTCTGTAGAATAGACCGATATCTTTCAAATAAATAAATATTGACTTCGAGTCCACGAAGAATATACAACACAAAATGTTTGTTGTCGATTGTTGAATGATTCCGACATACAATACACAAAGGGAGGTTCAACGTTGTAATGAACAATATTGTGTGGATGTTAATTATGTAGTTTGTAACTTATAGGGATGACGTCAGGCGTGTTAACAGCAAAGATGGCTGAAAACGGTAATATTGACAAGATTCGGCGATTTTCGGATAGGATAAGACTGTTTCGATACCTTCATTAGGATAAGAAGGCAAGCTGAAGTCAGTCGAATTTAATATGATGAAACTAGGGTAAATATGAAAAAGGAAAGAAAAAATAACATGGAAACCAATGGAAAAGTACAACGATATGGATAATAAGACCAGGCATTCCGGAGGGGCAAACATGCTCTGTTTAAATCGGCGCCACCAGCCTTGTTATCCTAGGTCAAATTCAAGTACTATCGAATTCTCAGAGCGATACTAATGGAAGTGAAAATGAAAACAAAAAGGCACACCAATAACTATAATCAGAAACATCAACCGTCAAATAGCTCATGGAGAATTCTCGAACATTAGAAACAGGAAATATATCAATTATTAACAGTGCCCAACAACAAGTTACACATAGAACTATCCTATGCCATAATATCATTATATCAGTACCAATAAAGAATAGCCATCGTGGAATACAGTGAAATGTAAACCAGTAATCTACCTTGAATAGATCTTTGAGTTAATATGTGTATCCATCTCGCAAACTCCTCTTCAAAATCCTTGTTTTTACATTTGTTGAGATACTCATTGTTGTTGATATTCATAGCCCCTTAAACATAACAATCATATCTGTCCTGAAATCATTCCATCTTCCTCATGGCACTTTTCCATGATATATAAATTTAACGTCGCGTGATTTAAAGTTTGTTGACACTTCTCAGCAGCATAAACTTACTGACATAGTGTATTTCTATATAAGCTCCACTTCTTTGTTTCGTGTGTATTTATACCTCATGAAATCGGACACAGAGACGGAAATATAGACAGCTTTGTACATTTTACGAATGTATATTTAACTAATTATCAATGTTGTTAGCTTTCTTTCATAGCGGTTGTAAGCATTCATGTATGTGTATATAATATCTACAGAAGAAAAAGGGAGATAACTGGTATTGCTTTATACATAGTTACAGTGAACATTTATAGTATACACACTATTCAATAATATATGTGAATGATACGAATTTACCTTTAACATGCATCAGTATTCAGCTTCCATCATAAGAAATCTAACACCCATAGATAAGGACGAGAGAAAACCACTAATACTTTAAATAAAATTGAATCCAAAATTATATTATCTAGAATAATTAAAATATTTACGTTAATGTTTCTATGAGGATTAAAACTCAACTATGATAAAACATGAAACATGATTCCAAAATGCTTCAAATATTTACTTAACGAAAATAATTGTCATGTGCACAACTATATCTTTAACTAAAATGGCAGTTATCATACAATTGATTAGTTTTGTATAATTTGATAAGTCGTTCATATAGGTTAAAGACGTTATAGCAGTTATGGAACTTTAATTTTGTAACAATAGCTGTTAATATGGGAAGCTGTAAGTTTGCAGGGGTCAACATGGCGTTACTGTATGTCGCAGTGCTAACAGTTAGTAACTTAGTGACGTGCATATTTTGTTTTATAGATTCGATACTAACACCTTGACGGAAGCCATATATGTCCTGGTGATGTAGTTGACCGTTTTCCTTTGTCAACCCGTCTTTGGCCAAATTTC